CCCCAAAAAAAAAAAAAAACAAAAACGGAAGAAAAAAACACACAGTCACTTTGCTCCCTTCACGCGAGGTGACATCGACTGGGCCTTGGGAGCAGCGACTCGTTTGGACTGGGCCTTGTGGCTTTGGGTTGATTCGGATTTGTTGCGCTTTCTACACGGGCCACCATCTTTGATAGTGGCTTTAGGAAGAAGCCAATGTCGGTGATTTCGATGCCTGCTCCAACTCGACTCCGGGGAAAAGAGGCCTCTGTAACTATAGAACCCTTAGCAAGCCTTATATAACAAAGCTCTGAACAACCCATCCAAACTTGCAAAATTCAAAGGATACTATGATGGTGGTGGCAGCAATGCGCGTAGTTTTTTCACATGATAATTGGCCCAAAAACGGGTAGCAAGAGCTCCATACTGACAAACCAGTTGGTAAACTCTGACCAAGGCATTGGCCCACATGCTCAGCTCTCGGGTGGAAACGGAAACTCAAGGCAAGGAAGCTGGCGACTTCCGATTATTTCACTTGATACTGAGTCTGATTCGGGCCGTGTCCGTTTCGGGTTTGAAGGTCTTGCCAAGCCAGGCCGTGTCATGTCGAAGGCATACCAGAGCATCGCACAGGGTTTCCGCCCGGTCACCAGGCATTTCCATGACGATGTCCGTTGCCCTGACGCTCGTGGTGGCGCTGGCATTGCTCGCAGCAGCCTTCTCCATGGCTTTTTGGCTGCATGTTCAAGAGTCCGTCCGTTGTGAGAACCCCAGGAACAACTTCATCATCCGCAGTTGTTGAGGGGCAGGGATACGATACTGCGCCGAGGTTTGCAGGCCAACCGGAATGGCCAAAGGCTACGACTCCACACCGACCCTTTTTGGCTCGAAAAGCACCGGGCTGGAATGAAGCTTTTGCATCTTCTGCAGCAAGCTGAGCATCGGCTGACTGCTTGCAAGCATTGTGTTTCACATGCACTACGCACCTCCGGACGCGGAGATATCTATAGCTTCGGCAACAAAAGCCGCGCGGGTTCAGATGTAAATCTGACAAAGCAGAAACTGTACAGTTCGACGCTGTTTGACGCATGCATGCAGTCGTGTGAAACGGGCAGGGGGGGGGGGGGGGGGGGNNGGGGCGGACAAATAATTGAAAGGAGTACTTGCAGCGATGAGCTTTGCAATTGCAGCTGAAACATGCTGCATGGCATCACGTTGCACGAAAACCTCGCCTGTGTATGCCGCAAAGGGCCAAGCAACGGCATGTTTCATTAAGGTCGACACCCCATTGCAGTGGCGGTATTCTGAATCCAAGCATGTCGCTTTACAGAAAAGAATGGAGCATGGGCGTGTTTTGATTCAGTTTTGACTCCGCAGATACCTTGTGGCTCTTCACTTAGGCAAAAGTGGTTCACGTGAAAAGCGTTTGGCACGATGGTGCGACGACTGATCCAAGGCGTGGAGTTCTTGCATGCAATTAACAACTATCGAAGCACTTGCCAAGCTCCAAAGAACAACTAGCATAACGAGCATCACCATCGGAACGTTGCAATAGTGACAGTGCTACGATCGGCATGAAACGATTAGCTCCCAGATTTTAAACGTTCACACTTGCAAAGATCACATAGAATAATCAAAAGTTCCCTTGTCCTGGATCCGATAACATATTTCATGAAACCTCACCCCTAAACCCTAAAAGCCTTAAATTCCAAACCCCAAAGCGGCTTTCCTCGGAACCGGTCGGCCAGGCCTTTGCCTCGGATCTCTTTTGGCCACCGCAGGCACATGTCGAGAAGTTCTTGCAGTGTTTAGGGTTCGAAGGCGTTAGGGTGCAATTGCACTGGTTCAAGGGTTTAAGGTAGGGGGTGTACCGGCTGCGATGTGCAGATTTCGGAGTCGTTGCGGTGTTTCGTAGTTGAGGGCGGAGGGTTTCGGGCGTTACCGTTACTGCTTAAGTTTTACAGGCTTGGGAGGTGCTGTACAGTTCGGGCTAGGAGTTGCAATTTGGACATTTCGAGTTTGTCAATCATGGTCGGTTCCTGAACTATGCCTCCTTGCGAAGATTTTGGCGCGAGTTGCGCTTAGGGCAGAGCCCAGACTTTAAAACAGTAGACGGATCACGATTCCCAGCTGCAGGGGCGGAACAAGTCCCAGAGTTGCTGGTGGAGGAGACACAGCACGCATTTAAGCGCATTGCATCGCATGCCCCAGATGTTTCGCGAGAGCGGTGATCCAGTGGCAAATGTTCGCACGGTTCATTCCACAGGCGCACATGCGAACACACACTCAGACGCACACACATATTGTACACATACGCGTACGTGTATCAGGTTCTGACGCAACCGTTTGAGGAGAGTTCCTAGTGGAGCAATGTTGATGCGGCCTGTAGCTAGGAGCTGCCATCCCAATACGTCCGGCGGTTTCCGCAAGGCGTGAGGTTTTTTGAGGTTTTAAAATCGGAGGCAGTCGGTGTACTGAATCGCCCGCAACCAAGGACAGCGAGTGTGCAGCCAACGAAGAATGCGCTTTGAGCCGCAGCAGCACCGAAGGTATCCACAACGGTTCGAACTGTGGGTCCTTGCAACTGTTGCTGGTAGGGCGCGACAGGTCCCTGGAAACCGTTTTGGCTTCACAAGAGTTTGCAGTTGGTGCATTTCCGCATGAGAGCATAATATGAAGATGACAACTCTCCCAACAAAACCGACGGCATTCGCAAGGAACGCGCTGCAGCGACACGCTTTGCAAAAGAAAGCCCCGGTCGCGAAGATGTACGGCTGCTTGGATGGGTCCGAGTCGCGATGGGATCAGCAGAGATCACCTGAAGTCAGCCGAAGTGACAAATGCCACCGAATTCACAAGTGTTATGATTTAGCGAAAAATGACTTGCGAATAAGTTGACAGGAAATAAATGGCACATATAGCTCAAGACCATCCATCCCCTATCCCCCAAACCCACACCCAAACTGAACCCGGAGCCTTAGTATCAAGAGTTGCCGCTCCAAGGCCAGTGCGGCGGAGCCAAGTGGAAGGCGGGCGGAAGATTTAAGAATACCCGGGACCCAAGCTAATCAGATTACAGGTGCAAGTTCTAATGAGTTCGAAAACATCAGTGGTGCAACGTAAGTGTATTTAAACATGACGAATTGACAGTACTCAGTACAATGAAGAGCATCAGTCGGTTCTTGCTGCGCAGGGGCCAACCACCTGCGAAGATGGTAACCTGGCCAAAGTTCCCACAGGCTCTCCGTGAAAACGGATCAGGGTTGTCAGGGGAAACGTGAATGCTTGGGGGAGGCGCCTAGCCCAAATCGGGCAGTCTGGGAAACATAAGCTGCAACTCTTGAATCGGTGCTGGGTGTGAAATGGATGTTGATTTAATTGTTCTCGGCTGTTTACACCACGCCGGTTTCTTCCCCGCAGCTTCACCGGCAAGCCCCAAGTTCAGGAGACAAGTAGGTGGCGGCCAAAACCAATCAGCAACAAGTTCAAGCAAACTCAGGCCGAGCGGCAATTTGTATAGATTGAAGTCGCTGACGAGCTGAGATTACGGTTTCGGTGGGGTTCTAAAATGTTAGACTGTTGTGAGATGGATCCCACGTCTTCAAAGTTTTGAAGATGTGTGCATTCTCGTTCCGTGGTTCATCACGGGTGAAGCTTTAGGACATCATTTTGTATTCCCGACAATGTTCTTGGCAGTTTGGTGCTAGCCCGAAGTTTTGAAGAACCCTAAACCCGCAGTCCCAAAACCCACGAAGTTTCTCAGCCAAGGTGGCAAGTGTGTGATGACCAACGAATGGTACGCGCAGTGCGAACCCGAGGCCCGTAAACTACAATTATTCCCGACATCATGATAAACAACAAACCTGCAGAAATTGAAGTAGGTTCCTTACAGTAAAAACTCTTAAGATTTTTGCCCTAAAGTTTTAAAGTGTATTCTTTTTTGTTTGGCTTTTGCTGCAATTGCAGAACCGGGGGTCTCGAGCGTCTTAGAGGCTTTTTTCTACGCGGTTTGATGGGGTTTTACCAAGATTTGTTCGTAAGCGCTGTCGGAGTTTATGGGTTGCTGCGGCTCTATGGGGCTTAGGGGCGAAGAGCTCAAGGTTGAAGGCTGAGGGTTTAGTGTGTGGACTGCATGGTTCAGTGTTCAGTTTCGGCAGAATTTCGGTCACCTAGGCTTGAATTGCTTGACATGAGTGCGGCCGCAGCTTCGGCTGGGACTGTTGTCGCAACTTGGGAAAGGCGACTCCTTTTGAGGCTCTGGCGGAGAACGTGGCCTTAGCAGCCATACCTGCTGGACAATATCGATTCGATTCATGAGAGTTGCAGAAAGTACGAGACCCCCAGGAAAGTTGCGAAAATATCGAGGTTGTGCAAGACAAAACTCGAAAAGACTCTGCCCCGCACACTTGGCACAAAAAACAGCCCACCTCTTGAAGCCTTCACCCGCAATTTCCAGAAGCCCTCCGAGCCATGAACCACTTGGGTTTTGCACCGAATGTCGGTTCCGAAGCCGAAAGCCGAAGAACCCTACCATGCAAGGACCTTAGATGAACAACCAGGTTTCGACAACCACAACCCTACACAGGAACTGCAACCCGAAATTTCCGAATAGCTGAAGCTCTACGCCTCCAAGCCAGTAAAGCTTCCGCAGTCCTCACAAGACGAGCTTTGGAACCCGGAAGACCCTGCAGTGAGTTTCTGTATCCAAAATTAAAATTTACTAGTAAGGTTATTGATGATTCCGTTTGTTATTGTTACACTGTATCTGCTATTGTTATTGCTATGACCATGACCCTAGACCATGACTACAACCGCGCCGTACAAGGCCCGTGCTCAGTTTTTTGGACTCCAGCAGTCCAGCCCCCAAAGCCGGAAGACCCTCAACGGAAACCCCAACTCTTGCGCTTATCACCCAATAACAACCGACCTGCTTGCCGCGTCCCATTTTATGATTCACCTCCTCCAAGCATCCCATTTACCTGAAAGTCGAGCTTTTGGCGCAGGCAGCAGCCGAAGTCCCAGCTCCCTCGCCCGGCGCAGTGGAGGTGGCCGAAGCTCTCCACTGGGCTCTCTTTAGGGCCTCAGGGATGATGTTGTATTGTGCAAGTCTTGGTCTTCCTTTCGAACACTGTTGAACATGAGTCCAAGGAGGCTACGGTCTAAGACGCAAGGGCAGAAGGTGTGTCGTGGACTTTGGGCGGTCGTGTTCAGAGGGATTTTGGCATCATCAGCTTCATCAACAGCAGCATGTATCACCGCCACGACCGCCAAAAGAAATCGCCACCACTAACCACCAGATCATTGCAACCACACGCACACCAGCAGCGCCGCCGCCGCCTCCCCCCCTGCGTAGCTGTCATTTGCTTGCCACGACGTCCTCCTCGTCGTCGTCACTTTTCTCTGCTGAAGATCACACAAGCGCTGTTTGCAAAGCTTGGCGCAGGAAGCCCAACAGCCCCGTTCACTGCAGGCCAAAGACGAGAAGCAGGAGCAGCCACCGCCGGAAAAGACCATGGATCCTTGGACGAAGATTTTAAATTAAGAGCATTTCCGTGCTTGTGCTTGTTGTTGTTGAGCTGGACTTGCATCATGTTTTTTTACATGGTGTGCTCAGGGTATGTTCTGACGACTGGGGTTTTTGGTCCCGAAGCAAACATCGACTGCGCCAACACAGGCCAAGCAACGATACATATCACCCGAGTTCTTGGCTAATTGCTCAGTCCTTCCGGACTCCTTTGCACTTTGCTGTTGCTGTTGCGTAGGGTTGTAGCCCTGTGTTGGTACACAGGCTGAAGCTGAGAATGGTGGCGAAGCCGTGATGACGGTGAAGGGCTCGACCTCCCTTCATCCTGAACCCTTCATCCTGAAGCCCAAGCTTCAACACCTAAACTGGTGACGCCCAAAAAGCATCTCCTAGGCCGTAGAATTTCTGAGAACCTTTGTTTCCAGGGGCCGCTGCCTTCCCGGCCAAAGCAGCCCGTAGCTCGTCTTTTTTTAGATGAGTCTGGGTCAGAAACTGCTTAAGCATCGCTGTTCCCTTAATTTCCAGAAACGGATGAGGCTTCTTGGACCCGAGGTGTGGGGGAGCAGGGGCTCAGGTTTGGGCATTCAGACTCGGGTCTCAGGTGTTTGTAAGTGGGTTTAGGAGTTTGTGGGGCTGCATGTTTGTTGCTAGGCCTTGCAGTCTTCTTACCGTCATGTAGAGTCTGCTTGCCATTGAGGGTCCTAGGTTGTTGATGCTCTTTTCTTATATTCTTTCTTATTTGGGAGCTCCGTCGGATTCCCTGCGAAGTGTCCCGCTCACTAGAAGAATATACTACATTGCATTATATCAGTTATTATATACTACATTATACCATACTATACCATATTATGATGCATGTCCATGCGGATCGTTTCTGCGAGCTTGATCTTCATGCCCAATCGTGAACATCGCCTGCAGGATTCGGGGGCTCATTTGCACAACGTCAAACTCATGTGCAAATGCGAGCTTTGTTTAATGGTTTCACTGTAAGGTTTTACGGTTTTAACCTACTGTTTTGAGTTTGTGTCATTTCTCAGACCATTTTGGTGAAGATCCTCGTACTGCCGGCCTCACCCCCCCCCCGTTCTGAAAGCGAAATGCAGGCACCAAAGACCTACGAGACTCTGAATCCCATCATCGCCCGTGGGAACTTCCTTTATGACTCTGAAGCTCGGCTGGCAAGGGAGATGAATAGGGAAGCTAGCTGGACGTTTGCATCAACTGTCAAACGGGCCATCGGGTTGCTTCAAAAGGGATATGAATTAAGATCTGTGCTACTACAAAAGAGTTTCCAAAGTGGGGCTTAATTAGGCTCTCAGGAAACTGATGTTCTTGAACTTTCCGGCCGCCGATGGTCGAACGTGAGGGCCTCTTTGTGATATATAGGGTGTAGGGCTTTGCTGTGCGGTTTAGGGGTTGCCGGGTTTGTGTGTTTGCGTTTTTGGCTGCAGCCTGGTTTCCAGCAATTCCCGAGGTCACTGGAGACCGGTTCTTCGCCAAAGGCGTCGCATACAACCCGAGAAACGAGCCGCTTGGCCTGAGCAGCCTTGGGTGGGGTTCTTTTTAACCCAACAACCTATCCCAAGACCTTTTCGGGCCTTGGGTCGCCAAGCCGTTTCCTTAAACTCCCAAAGTGCCGAGCACTCCAAAGATCAAAGCCCTGTGTGAAGGATTCAGGCTTGAGAACTTGAGGGGTTTCAGACCCCATGCTGCCAGGAAGTATGACCATTCTTTTGGCCCTTCCGTGCACGTTGCCGGCTGGGTGGACAAGTGTGTGCCAGGAGATCCCAAGGGAGGCCCCTGGGCTGAGAGCCGAGAGTTCTGTGGGTTCTTCGGAGGTTCGGTGGCTTCATGCATCCCGGTTGAGCCCACAGCTTGAGGGAAGCAGGTGGTCATCTGATTTGGGAATTGTCGACGGCTCCATCATCTGGACTTCCAGGCTGAAATGCGAACCCACCGCGAAGGCAACATGAAACGTGAGGAATTGCAAGCATCTGCCGGCCGGCGGACTGCTTTGATCTCCATGACCCGTCTTATCAATGCTACTTGCTAAGTCACAAAGGGTGCATGCAGATCTGGCAGCGAGTTCCAGTCTGGTGTGCGAAGGCTACTGGGGCTACACTGCAGACGTCGTGTCAGATGAGAAAGAGGCCCGGGCCTGAATGTGTTCCAACTTGGATTTCCTTTTAGTCACTTTATTTTCAATATCAATATGCAATCATGTGTGGCGAAGACCCCCCACACCAAACCCTCGCAAATGCTTTCGACTTTTGTTTAATTGAGAGAGCCTCAAGCAGTGTTAACCGCTCCGATTCAACGCCCAGCCAAGAAGGCATTTCTAGGGCTGGGATCTCACGGTTTCCGGGTTTATGAGGTTTAGGGCCGTTTAGGGCTTAACGTTCGGATGCAGTATCGGGCTAACATAAGGTTGGGATGTAGCATAGGGCTAACATGGTTAAGCTTTAAGCGTCCCGTAGATCAGATCGACTTGAGCAGTGAAGACTGAAGGCACTTGAGGAAAACCCTACCAGTGCCCGCAAAACGATGGATGGGCGGGGGGTATACATCAAACCACATTAGCGAATGCTCTTTTTGTGCTGGCGATCCTAAACTACAACCCAAGATAAAAAGTACCGGAAGCCTGCAACTGGAACTGGATTCATTGATCCTGCACCCCACAAACCTCAGCCCAACACTACCAGCTGAATTTGTGCAGCCTTTGTGCAGGAATTCTGGACAGAAGATTTGGAAGCGAACCCAAGCTTGATGGCCTGGGGGGTTTTAGGCGCTTTCACATCGAAAAGCTTCATTTGGGGCGTTCTGGTAACATGGCATCGCAGGGCTTATTGCTAAAGGCAGAGTGCCACTGCTAAAGGCAGAGTACCACATTTACAATCATCTACATGTATGTACATGTTATGTACTGGCATACATGCACATACACAACATAACATGCACATACATACATATGCGTACATGTTAGTCTGCTTTGAGTTCGAGTTTGCTGCCTTTCATGATCTGACAGGGACATGTCCCAATCTACTTAGGATGGATTGGGTCGGCACGCATGAGACGTCGGTTGTGTTTCTCGTGAACTTGGCCATCGTGCCGCGAGTGCTCCATGTGGAAAAATAAGTCGGAAGAAAAGAAAAAGAGAAGCAGAACCGAAGGATGACAACAAGATTCAAGCTACAAGCTACTAGCCGCAACCTGAATACAATGCAAGAATCATGAGACTGAGCTTGGCTCCTGAAGTCTTAAGATCACCAACTAGAAAGCCCCGGCCCTACAGTCCCAAATAGTCCCAAATCCTACAGAGCCTGCGCCCTTCAATCCTAAGTTCTTAAACCCTCAGTCCTAAACGCCTAAAGTCGCCAATGAGGATGGCCAACATGGGCGCCAACACGATCCGCTTGTACAACGAGTCAAAGCTGCAAATTTCGGTGTTTAGGGCATGTAAGGGTTTCGTAAGGGATTGAAGGGGGTTCAGGTTTTAGGGTTCCAGGTTTTGCGTCTAGGGCCGGATGCTGTTGAAAGCGTCATATTCTTACACCTGATGCAATCGTTCCGATTGCTTCACGCAACTTTGTGATACTCTCCTGCAGCATGCTATTTCCAGGAAGTTCAGATTTCGACCACGTGCCGGCACACTTGAAGCTTGATGAAGCAGCCGCAGAGGAGGGAAGCGTAAGGTTTTAGAACTTCGAGGCTTCAGCATTTCGCATGATTCGGATCTGAGTTGGATCCGCGCTTGAGCCACGCGAAGTTCATGAAGAAGGCAGCTTCCCTGGGCATCTACGCTGCTCAGCGGCAACCCTTTGGATCGAATAAGATGCAGTTCTCAATCCTTCCAGAAAAGCCTTGAAACGTGTGAGGCGATCGTGCCCTTGACGGGAAAGGTGTCTCAGCTTCACCAGTCGAGGTGCTTTACTTGAAGGTTCAGGGGTAGGTTCAGGGGTAGCTTCAAGCGGGGTTTAAGGTTTAATAAATGTGGGAGTTCCAACTTGCTGAGAGTCGAAGTAACTGCAACCACATGCGTTTGACCCACGATCCGTCATACATTTATCAGTCCTAGCGGTTCAATGAGGATCATAAGAGGCCCAGATACAGTTACAAGCCTCGGAGTGCACCATAATAAGACTCTAAAAACCCTGAGCCCTAAGCCACTCCTAGACCCTGAAGCCGCAAAACCCTCAGCCTGAGCCCTTTGCGCTCAAACCACATAACCCTAAAACCGCCCATTTTGTCCTGCGGAGTTGGCCTTCGGGTTTGTCATGCGGGGGCCAAAAGCAATCAAAGGTCGCAGGTTTGCTTCGCAGGTGAACACATGGTGACACATTTTGCGAACTCACAGTACCGATCGGCATCCCGTGTCACGACCCAAAGCCACGGTTGTGGAAGTAGTAACACTCGTCTTTTTCGTCGTACTGGTCATAGAGGTAGTAGTACTGGTAGGAGCAGGCGTAGGAGTAGGACAGCAGCAGCAGCAGTTGTACTCTTTGTCACTGTAGCTGTTGTTGTTCCGGTGATGGTGGTTGTGGCAGTGATGGTGACCTTGGTGGTTGCATTGTCGTTTCCGTCGTCGTTGTGGTTGTGGCCTGTTTGTTGGTTGTTGGTTGACAGTGGTTGTTCGCATGGTGTTTGTTGCTTGTTGTTGGCGGTCGGTGTTGATGGTTGTTGTTGGTTGGTGGTTGTTGCGGCTGTTGTTGCTGTCACTGTTGCAGTCTATGTTGTTCTTCCTCTTGATGGTGTTAGTTATGTTGCTCCTGCTGCTCTTGCTTTTGCGCTTGCCGTCGGTGTTGGCAATATCAATATTGTTATTAGCACTGTTCTTGTTAGTGCTTTTGTTCTTCCGGTTGTTGTTGCTGCTGTTGTTGTGGTGGTGTTTTTGAGTGAACACTACACCCCGGGACCTTGCCCAAAAACACAAGCGCCTGAAAGCCCTGCTCCGAAGGACTACGGCTTCCTCCCAGCCTTCCCGGCTCCCGAATGCTACACCAAGGATGCTTGGTTTGTCAGGAGGGTGGGAGGTCGGATTTCGGGCGGGCGGAATCTTGAGTTTTGCAGCCTCATGCGTTTGCTTCACAGGGGCATCTTGAAACAGAGCCATCACTTCTACTACTTCCAATGCGACTACGACTAGTACTAGTACTAGTACTAGTACTACTACTTCTACT